AATAAAATAGTTTGAATTAAATTATATTATATAAAATATAAATAGTAAACATTTAATCTGGTGAAAAAATATAGCATGACATTACCGATTTTTTTTTAATAGCTACTATTTTAAGAAAAATAAAAATTAATTGATTTTACATTTTAATAACTGCCGGGATTTTGGGAGTTGGTTGTTTAAAAAATGTTAATTTTTGAAGGTGGCATTCTAATATGCCCAAATAAATTGTGCAGGGAGAAAATGGGGAACTACACCAAGGCAATAAATGACCTGCACAAGAAACTAATGGAAGTAATATTCGAGAGCTTAGGTCTAAAACCGGACTACTTACAGAAAGAAATCGAACAAGGCTCGCAAATCACGGCGGTGAATTATTACCCTTCTTGCCCCGAACCGAGCCTAGCATTAGGCCTGCCACCACACACCGACTACGGACTACTAACCATTCTACTCCAAAATCAAGAAGGACTACAGATTAAGGAAAAAACCGGAAACTGGCATTGCGTACCTGCGATCAAAGAAGGATTGGTGGTCCAATTGGGCGATCATATGGAAGTACTGACCAATGGCAGATACAGAGGAGTTGTGCATCGAGCGGTTCTGAACTCGGAGAAGAATCGGATCTCGATTGCCAACATTCAGACCCTATCAATGGACACAAAAGTGGGGCCCGCCTCGGAACTTGTGGACGACGAGCACTCCGTGCTGTACGAAGAAGCTAGCTTTCGGGATTTTCTCAAGTTCGTATCGGAGAACGATGTACTTGAAGGGAGATACATTGACACACTGAGGAAGGAGGGAATCCATTAGCCATACAGATACTCGTTAGTGTTATCAAATAAGTGTCATTTGAAATTAAAAAAAAAATGGCTAAAATTGGAGCAAAATCAAACAGATTATCATATAAGTAGTAAAAGTGTGTAATCCATGAAACGATCGAAAAACACTAAATCAACAACAACAACAACAACAACAACAACAACAACAACAACCGCAAAACGCGTAAAATCATATGAATCGTCGGCCAAAATTTTGATCTTTTTCTCTCTCTCTCTCTCTACAGACGAAGAAAGGTTGAATTTTCACTATATTACAACAGAATTGAAACATTACCTAACCATCGTCGTTTCCCGCTTTTTACCGATCTGCCTGCGATTGTACAATCGGTAACCGGACGGAATTTGAAGCGGAGTTGAATTTAGAATGTGGAATCGGAGAATCGACGGCTGGTTGAATCATCGTACGTTTAAAAGCAGCCATCGAATTGAATTGTAGTTTTGGTTATGGCGGAGAAGAGATCAAACGAAAGAGAATTGTTCCAGCTTTCAAGCCTTGTTCTTGCCCCGGGAAGATCATTCTGCCCTAAATGCCTTCGGCATCTTATGTTGCGTTTAAAATCAAAAATGTAAATTAGAAAAAGATTAAGACCCTGTTTGGTTGGTTGCCAACTGTCGGGATAAGATTAGTCAGGATAAAATTAAATAATCTAATAAACTTAAGTCCAGTTTGGTTGGCAAGACAAGATTAGCTAGGATAAGTTAAATAATCTAATGAAACCCAATTATTTTATTGAAGCTTGCAATATTCAACAAAAAAAACTCATTAAAAGGCAAAATAAGCCATGATTATATAATTTTGGCGAGTCGACCCGACAATTTATTGAGGATACCAAACATCAAATTAAGTCCAACTATTTAGTTAATCATGGTTTGTCTTGGCAATTTGATGTTTGGGGATACCAATCATCAAATTGTATTGTTGGAGCATGGAATATCCAATAAAAAAACATACCTAAACAATAGAATAGTATATTTAATTATGGGGACTTTACAAATAAGCCCATCAATGGGTACTTATTTATAAAGAGATCAAGACAAAAAACTCTTTTACCAATAAGTCCACACATGGTCCAGATTTTTGTAAAGGACTAAAATAACCCCTCATACTTTAATATGCTCCAATTTCATCCGTAACTTAATTTAACTTCAATTTGACCCCAAATTTCACAAATTATTCAATTTTGACCCAAAAAATTTTTTTTTCAAAAAAAAAAAATTCAAAAACTTTTTTTTTTCCGCCGGATTCCGGTGTTGACTTTTTATTTTTATTTTTATTTTTTTTATTTTTTTTCTTCTTTTTTTTTTCTGTAACTTTTTTTTCCGTTTAAACAGCAATATTGCTGTGATTGACAATAATATTAACTATATTACTGTTAAACACAATAAAATTAACTAAACTATAGTTTAACACAGTAATATTGCTATATTAATCTCTAGCACATTAATATTAACACAACAAAACTCATTATTATTGTGTAATAAAGTAATATTACTATGTTGACCGTTCAACAAATGTAAACATAATAAAAAAAAAAACCAAAATAATTAATATTACTGTGAGTGACAGTAATATTACTATAGCAACAGTAATATTACCGTCAACCACAGTAATATTACAATAATATTATTACGTTACTCCGTGAATAACTCAAACAAACAAAAAATTCAAACAAAATAATAATATTGATGTGGTTGACAGCAATATTACTATAACAACAGTAATATTACCGTCAACCACAGTAATATTATTGTGTTTACAGTAATATTACAATAATAGACAGTAATAATATTACGTTACTCCGTGAATTACTCAAACAAAACAAAAATCCCAAAAAAATAATAATATTGATGTTGTTGACAGTAATATTATTGTGTTTACAGTTCAGTAATTAATTACGTTGACTTGTCAACAAATCAAACAAAATAAAAAAAACAATAAAAAATAAAAAATAATAATATTACATTAATTTACTGTCAACGGCAGCACAATTACATAAATGTAATGTCAACGGCAGTACAATTACGTCAATTAACTATCATTGACATACTAATTACGTTAATTTACTGTCAGTGACAGCACAATTACGGTCAACGTTTAGCGGCGGACGTGGAAAAACAAAACAAACCAAACAAAACAAAAAAAAAACTTAAAAAAACACAAAAAAAAAAAGTCAACGCCGGAAACCGGCGAAAAAATCCAGAAGAAAAGAAAGAAAAAAAAAAAAAAAAAAAAGTCAACGCCGGAATCCGGCGGCAAAAAAAAAATTGAAAAAAAAAATGTTTTGGGTCAAAATTGAATAATTTGTGAAATTTGGGGTCAAATTGAGATTAAATTAAGTTAAATGATGAAATTGGAGTATATTAAAATATGCTCCAAAAAAAAGTCAAAATTCAATTTTTGTGGTCAAAATTGGATTTTTGTGGACAAATTTGATTAAATTGGGGTTACAATTAAGAATTGAGTATAAATGGTTGAGGGTAATATTGGGATATACATGAGTGTTTCCTTTATTTATAATAAATATTAAAGTGATGGGCTTATTGGTGAAAGAGATATGTCCCCTAAACCTAGAATAATAAACATGCTTGGTTGGGGACTTTATCACAAAAACCCCTTTAATTATTAGTTTAGTTAGTAGTTTATTATTAATTAATTAGATTAGTATATTTATGATATACATATGGCCGTTAGTTAGTGTTAGGATAGATATTAAGTGTTTATTTAGTATAGGTAATTATCTTTTCTTAGATTAGGATTATAGGGTTTTCTTATATTTAAATAGTCGTCTTGCGCTAGGGTTTTGGAATGAAGAGAAGTAATAAATAAGAGTTTTCTTACGTTTAGTAAAGAAATCTTATGATACTCAACAGATCGTATCAGAGTTGTTTGACTTTGAACAAAAATAATACTCCCTCCGTTCCCTATTAAGTGTCGTTTTTGGCTTTTCACAAGGATTAAGAAGCTCAATAAATGTATCTTGATTTTAGGTAAAATATATTAAAAAGACTAAAATAACATTGATTATTTAATGATGTGATAAGAGAGAGTTAATACTTATAGTTGAATTAATAAGGTTAAAACAGGAAAAAATGAATTTAATGCAGTATTGAAAATATAAAGTGACAGATAATATGGAACAAAAATATTTTTGAAAAGAGACAGTTATTGTGGAACAGAGGGAGTATATATTACTCACTCAATTTTCCGACCGAAAAAAGGACAAATTTCCGTGACGAATATTGCATACTATCTGCAACTCTAACATCGTTCTTTATTGCGAGATTCAACTTGTTTTACGACTGTTGAGGGTAAACACTTTTACCGATTAATTTGGAGGCTAAAATAAAGTTGATCAAGCGGTGTAAATGTTAAAGATATGAAAATTAACGACAATGGTCATATTGAGACAATTTTTCAAATATATAGAACAAATCGATGCAATTGAGAGTAAAATTGTGTAATGTGATATTTTCGAACGACGTTTTTTTTAATACGTCCAATTTTCATCCATAATTGCGATATTTTGTAACGAAAAATATATCTGAATAAACCGATGATTGACGATTCACGAGTCCCATAAGAATCACAGAAAACGAAATATCTCTGAACCCAAGGTTCACGAATCACGACTCCATAAAAGATTATATTGCAAATTTCAGTTAATTTACAAACTTATTTAAAAAATAAAAAAATGGTATTTATTAAAATATGTATATATAGTCTGACAAGATAAGGTTGGTGCTACTTGGCTAATTCTCAGTGTGACAATTGTTTACCAAAATTAAAATAATTTATATAATAACAATAAATAAATCATAATAAACCGGCTGGTCACAGTTGTCCATCCAGTTTTATGACAATTGTCTTCTTTATTCAGTGTTTTTTTTTTCAACATATGATTTTATATAGACGTGTAAAATCAGATGTGTTGGATCGGAATTAGTTTTGTAGAAAAAATTCTAAACTTTTTGTGGAAGTGAAAAATACTTTCAATTCCATTCCAAAAAAATATCGGAAATAAGAATTTCGAGAATTGGAACGAAAAACCTAATTATTCCAAAAGCGACAAAATTCGGATTGAAATCGGCGGAATTCCGAATTTTCCAATTTATGATCACTTTAAATGTAGAAAATACATAATAATACTACTTTAATTGTAATATTCATAAGAAATAAACACCGTAATTTTTGAAATTATTTTCAGAGTTTTAATCCGATCGGAAAGATCCACATATTTCGGAAAAAATCCAAAAGTCGGGATTCCGGAATTCGAACTGAAATTTTTTTGGAAATTGAAAATTCCGTTCCAATTTTCACCCATATTTTTACAGTGTAGGCAATACTTGAAGTGATAAAGATTGACATCTAAAATATTATTTAAATACTCAAAACAAATAAACTGCAATATATTAAAAAAAATATATAGAGACAGAATAAAATAATTCTGAAGAGTGTCCATAGTTTTTGCACGCATTAGCATGCGAGAGGATTCGTCTCAGTATCAGTATCAGTGCGTGTTCCTACATTCATTGTAACTGTACCAAAAATAGAAACAAACACAACATTAATTTATTTCTAAATTAAGAAACTTTCGTCCATCACACATACATACATACAATTATTATTATGTAATTATTATTCTTACAGCTTATAAACATGTGCAATTTGCTATCATGTTCTCTTCATCAACTTGTCATAAACACTAAGCTGCAGATTGGAAAAATGGCAGAAAAGAAAGATAATAATAATCATAATAAAAATAATACCTCATTCACAAGTGCAATTGCAGTTTCACAAATGAGTATAAGGAATATTCCCCGACGATATATACTTCCTCTCCCGCATCGACCGACACTTATAACTGACCACAAGCAGCAGCATTGCTTCTCCACCCGAGCTTCTTTGCCCATTATAGATCTTTCGTCTTTAGACGACCCACTTCTTCGATCACGCATCGTCGATCAAGTGTCCCTCGCCTGCGAGGAATTCGGATTTTTTCAGGTGATTTTTTTATCGATTTGCTTATTTTTATGTTACACCGAATTGCTACAAAAAAAAAACGTGTTTCGTTCTTGTTTGCTAAGAAAATCAAAGCATAAGGGTTTTTTTTGCAATTGGAGAAAATACAGGGGTGTCGGACGCAATAAACCCGTTATTTTTATTAGCATAAACCTCGGTATGCTAACTTACGACGACCACAGGGGTATTTGTGCTAATAAAAATAGTGGAGGGATCTTTTTGTGACAGTTAGAATATGTACAAGGGTGACGAATGCAATAAATCGACAAATACTAAATGTTTTGTGCAGGTGACCAACCATGGAATTCCAGTTTCATTCACAAAAGATGCACTAGATGTTGCTAAAGAGTTTTTCGATTTGCCGAACGAGACAAAGATGCGCATTGCCTCGGCCGATATCCACAAACCGGTTAGGTACGGGACTAGCCTAAACCATATCAAGGATAAAGTTCAATATTGGAGAGACTTCATCAAACACTACTCGCATCCGATCTCCACTTGGGTCGATTCTTGGCCGTCGGATCCTCCAACTTACAAGTAAGCATCCTCGTGTACTTTAACCTAAACAACCCATTAACCAAAATACTAAACCAAGAAAAAAAAAATCGCATTTTCAAGTTGGGTCGATTTGTAGCCATCGAAATCAAGAAGCCAACATTAGAGCCATTTTTTCCATGATTGTGGGACGGCCTGAAAAGTTATCGGACTAAGGAAACATCAAACATCCAATAAAGTACAATTATTTAATTAATTACGCCTAATCTTATCAACCAAACGAGGCCTAATACTCTCATTTTTCAAGCTGCATTCTAACGTGGTGTAATTGTGCAGGAATAAAATGGGGAATTACACCAAGGCGATAAATGACTTGCACAAGAAACTAATGCAACTAATATTCGAGAGCTTAGGTCTAAAATCGAACTACATACAGAAAGAAATCGAACGAGGCTCACAAGTCACGGCGGTGAATTATTACCCTTCTTGCCCCGAACCGAGCCTAGCATTAGGCCTGCCACCACACACAGACTACGGATTGTTAACCATTCTACTACAAAATCAAGAAGGCCTACAAATAAAGGACAAAACCGGAAATTGGCATTCAGTACCTGTGATCAACGAAGGATTGGTGGTTCAATTGGGAGATCATATGGAAGTACTGAGCAACGGCCGATACAGAGGGGTTGTGCATCGAGCGGTTCTGAACTCGGAGAAGAATCGGATTTCGATTGCTAATATCCAGAGCCTTTCGATGGATGAGAAAGTGGGGCCCGCTTTGGAGCTGGTGGACGAGGAATATCCGGTGCTGTACGAAGAAGCGAGCTTTGCGGATTTTCTGAAGTTCGTTTCGGAGAATGATATACTTGAACGGAGATACATTGACACACTCAGAAAGGGGAAAATCCGCTAGTCATAGAGTTGTAAAACAGAGGGATGCATGTGTTATCAATAAGTGTTATCGAAGTTTTATTCGAAATGAAATTGCTATAACTGGAGCAAAATCAGATCAACATGTTTAGGCACCTTCAATATAAGTAGTAAAAATTGTCATCCATAAAATGATGAACAAACAAAACCGACAACAGCAAAAACGTAAAATTATATGAACTTATGATCAGAATTTTTATCTAGATAAATTTTGCTGTTAATTTTTTTTCTTCCAGACGAAAATGGATTGATTTGCCATTTAATTTTCAGTGTTTTGCTTTACATTACAGCAAAATTGTATCATTACCATTTAGCATCATCAGCATTCCAATCTGCCAGCAATTATTCAATCGGATTTGAGGCGGAACTAAGCAGAGTTGAATTTAGAAAATCGAATGCTCGAATCAGAGGCTATCAAAACAACCATCAAATTGTACTTCTGGTAATGGCAGAGAAGAGAGCAAACAAAGAGAATGGTTTGAACTTCAAAGCCTTCCTCACACGCGGGACAGATGATTCTGCATTACTGCTCTAATTTTTTTTTCGTACATGAAGAATGTACACAGCATCGTTTGCTCATCTTGAAAACACAACAAAGCATCACATCTATAGCGATAAATTAATAATATGCACCAAGTCAGAAAGCACACATGCAAAATGGAGACTCGCAGATATACAAATTAAAGCATCAAATTTTAGAAATTTCCGGATACATAAAAAAGAAAAAAACAAATAAAAAAATCCATTATTCATTAAAGTTAAACTAGTGCCCAAACTGTTGGCAAAACTCGATACAAATGGGAGGAGGGGAGCAAAGAGAAAGAAAACAAGAGGAAATCTCATTTTTTGCCACCTAGAGTGGGGAACTGGCCTGGATCTTCAATAGCAGGTGCTCTGACATTTTCATTGCCTCCAACACCGTAACCTCCTCCTCCTCTGGACCCACGTCCACGGCCCCTACCACGACCGCCTGAGCTGTAGTGCCTCTCACCTTCAGCTGGCTTCAAGAACTCGTTGATGCTCACCGACTGTATACCAGAAAATAACCGATGAGAGAGAGGTTTAGCTCACTGTACTTTAATGACATATGATTAGTGTACAAAATGAAAATGACGAATGTGGGGTTGAGGGCATCTTGAGATTATTTCCTTTTTATTACGAGTGCTGGTCAAAATCAGGATTTTAAGTAAAACATGAAGCGTACTTTACCAAAAATCATAGTGTAAAATTGGAATATAAGATGGTATGAATCCTACATATAGTGATATGTTTAGATATAGAACAAATCTTCTAACATAAATAAAATAAAATAGGGCATGTTCCAACATAAATAACCAATTCTCAACATAAATAAAAAAAATTACCAACATAAATAATGAAGTATGTGCTATTGGTAGTTGTTCGTTACTAGATTATTTATTGGTCGATGTTGGTGTGAAAATCCAGCTTTACTCAATTCTCAGAATTATTTCAGAATTAGTGGTGTGTTACTTGAATGGAAGAAAGTGTTCAAAAAGGAGTTAGCCTAGCCCAACAAATTAGGATTAAACTAAATCCCAGCCCAAGTTTGAAAACACAGTAAAATCTTAGATGGATGTTACTTCGATTCGGATTTTATATTTAGATCTAACAAGGTCGATTATTAGCAAGGTAGATGCAGTAAATTCGTGCAATCCTAGGATTTTTTTATTTTAAACGAGATTTTATAATACTATGTCAGCATGCTTCTAGTTCCAAATACCTATGCATGTTTAAACAAAATAACATTTTCAATAAGACGAAGTGTCAAGAGATTATTCATGAATCACCTTTTTGGCTCTCTCTTCCTTCTCAGCCAACTCTTTCTTTTTATCCTTCTCAGAGCCCTGAAAGGGGAAATTATGTTTGACAATCAAAATATGAGTGGTTTTGCTACATATACTAATATCCTGAAGCACGAGGAGTAACAAGCATAAATTCAGTAAGTAGAGAGTGAATATGGAATCACCAATTTGATGAATATATCATCATTAGATCTCTTCTTGCTTGAAAGTTGTTGCATGGATTCAAACTCCTTCACATCAACCTTCCTTGCCTCGCTATCAGCTTTGAGAGCCAGCAGAGACTTCCTTTTCTCCTCCAGGACCTTCTCATACTCTTCCAGAGTCATCTCCTGCATTTGAAATAACAGTTAATTCACAAAAGTTGTGTTTGAAATAAAAATGTCGGATGGCATCTTTAAAAAAATCGGATGTTCATATACAGGGCGACAACTAAAAAAGAGCAAGTGGTAACCATGCATACACTTCAATACGGGTACAAAATAAATTTTGGCTAAGGTATCAAAAACAGCTCAGGACGACAATCAAAACATTTGCCTCCAGATCCTAGATTTTAAAAGAGTAGATTGCATGAAATTCAAACTTCTCAAATAAAAGAGGAAGGAAATGACTGCAATTTCGAGGTCAATAAGAGAATAAAAGGGATAAACTTCAAAAAATAAATAATTGCAGCTAAGTCCTTCACCTTATCTTCAGGTTCCTTCTCTTCAACTTCAGTCGCAGCAGCAGCTTCCTTGTCTCCATCTGCTGTAGCATCCACCTCTCCTGAGGGCTTCTCAACACTCGGAGCTTTCTCACCTTCGATAACAGCTTCTTCAGTCACTCTGAAAAAAGAACAGGTAGTTAGCTACCAATCAGGAAACAGTCGGATAATAAGACAGATAGATCATATGGCATCGTGTTAATGAATTAAGATACTCACTCAGCCAATTCATCAGTGTGAGTACCCCAGTTCCCTCGGCCAGCTCCTTCCCTTTTGAACTCATTCCTGTTCATAAAAATGAGTTCAATTTAGATACAAAATCAATATAAATGATGTCATAGGTGATGTCATACATACCCACGTCCAGTTCCACTACGGCGATCCAATGGCCTGCGAGGGCGATCCCCTTCTCCTTCTCCAGCATCTCCATTGCTGAAACCACCACGGCGACCACCACGGAATGAACTCCGGGACCCACCAACAATGTGGCCACCACCACGCCTCTCTGAAGTTTTTCCAGAATCAGCTTCATCAGGGTTAACAGATATTTTCCTGTTGTCGTATGAGTTTTCATTGTTCGGTGAGTCTCTGAAGGACCCGCCGCCACCACCGCCATAGCCACGCCCACGTCCATATCCACGTCCACCACCACCTTGGCCACCGCGGGAGTACTCAGATTTTGACTCCCTCACTATTTAGAGACAAGTAACTAAGTGAGCAAACTGGTCATAAAATACAATCAATCAAACAAATAATAAAAATATGAATACGTTGAATTGTTCCTTATTTGGAACATGTCAATGCAAATAACTAGATTAGTAAAACTCATAGTGTGTTCGATTCCACTAATGTGCAACACAAAATACCCCAAACCAACTCCAAATGCTTAACTGAAGGTATGCATTGGAAATCTCACATTGTCCAAATCTATATCACATAAATAACATGTTTTATAGCAAATCACAAGTAACCAAGAAGTGAAAATCTCACATTGTCCAAATGTGAAAGTTGACAGATTTGACAAACATTATTCTCGACTCCATTTCAGCCTCTGAACATTCTTATTTGTTACCAAGAGGTTCAATTGACAAAATTGAAAAAAATGACTTCAACTTAATTTTACCAGAAACCATTTGGTTGTTTGTGAGAGTTGAAAGATATTTCTTAAAAAAAAGTCAATAGAAACAATACCATATTCATATATCTTTGCACCATGTCCTACAAATAACCCATGCTAAAAATTACACAAACAAGAATATGTTTATCAACTGAAAACAAAATTACTACTCTAAAATTATTAAAAATAAGACATTTACAAGATTAACAAATTCCACAGACCAATTAGAAATGTGAAAACCAATTCATCAACAACTTGCAGATTTTTAGATAGATATATAGGGAGATGGAGAGATAAAAAAAAAAAGAAAAATAAAAACTAACCGGCCTGGGCTGGGGGAGTGGGCTTGGAGGGAAGCCTAGGCTGCGCAGTCACCTTATTCTGCGACGGCAAGTCCTTACCTCCGGCCGCCGGCTTAGCCGCCGGAGCAGTGGTTTTCAACGCCTCGATCTTCTGCTGCTGAGCAGCAATCAGCAGCGAGGGATCCTCCGCATCATCGTCCAGCAAATCAAATGGGTTGAGCGACGCCATTGCTTCTCGACAGCACCAAAAACAAACCCCGAGGTTTTCAGATTATTCACAGAAACGAAATCCCTTACTCCATCACTCTATTCATCACTAACGCCATTAAAATTAACAGATCTGTAAAAATTTTTGAGAGGATAAGAGGATAGAAAAAACAGAGAGAGAGAGAGAGAGAGATGGGGGAAGAAATTGGGGTTTCGCCAAACCCTAGCCGCAATACACAGTAGGCAGAAGGAGTGAGGTCTATCTGAAGCTCGTGTGAGTGCTGTCAGATTTTCTTCTAAGTTTATATACGAATAAAATTAATATTTATTTTTTAATTATTTTATCACTATTTACATAAAAGTTGGGCTGGGCCGATTGGATGCTTTTTGGGCTTTTTGGTTCACTTGGGTGATGTTTACAAAACTAATATTTGATGAAGTAAGTTGGTAAATGTACATAATTTTTTTAATAAAAACTTTATTCCACTAAAATAAATTTTAAATAATTAATTTATAAGTTAGTGAGTTTTCAGCATACATTTTAATTTTTATTTTGTAAAATATGTTAAGTGTCCTGGTAGTTTGGATTTTGAAATTATGATGGGTCAATTTGCAAGATTGAGGCGGTCTTGCGAAAGATGGGCTTACTCAGCCAAAAAAACCCAACGAGTATGGGTTCTCCGGTAAATGGGCTATAAGACCGCTTAAGGAAAAGACTAACCGTACGAGGCTCGTCAACAGATAGTTCGTGCAAGACAGATATTGATTATGGTTCTGGACGCGCAAGAAGGAATAAAAAGGGGAGGCAACAAGCTGACCGAAGAGCGGTTGAAAGGACATGATTTTGAAGATATCTTCCGAAAATAGATAAAGAAAATATACAAATTATGGACGATCATTATAAAGCCAGCATAAATCTTGTACGAATGTAAAATTAGTCCATGAAATTCATATATAAACGAGTGTAAGAAACCCTAAGGGCCCTTTTGCTTTGTAGGAAAAGCCCAGATTGATGCATTAGTCCTATGTTATGAGTAGTTAGGTTTCTCATATGCCGGCCCGCGACTGATTAGTGGCCCGGTAACTTATCATTCCATTTCCTGGAATTCCAAGACTATGTAATCTCACCCCTGCACCTCAGATTACTTAGTCTTACAAAACATGCTGGAATAATTCGAATTTTCATTTCCCAATTTATCCCCTTCAACAGGGTCGAATTACATATTAGTATGATATAAATAGCTTCTCAATTCCCCCAAATTACTTTTTGCCCTAGTTTTTTTCGAAGAACAGAGAGTTCCCTTTTCTATTTGGATTTTTTCTGCGAAATTTCTACCGCCTCTCCCTAAAAGAATTGAGTTTATTTTTTGGTTTTTGTAAATCGTTCGGTCGGTGAAGCCTGGCACTTCGGAAACCATTGTTGAAGGGCAGGACGTGGGGTTTAGGGTAGAAAATCACTAATGCCAAGGTAGGCCTTACTGATATTTTGGGTGCTTTACTGGAATTTTAAATATCATTTGCTGAAAATTTTCACAGAGTGTCCTTTCGTTTTCTGATTTTTTTTTTTTGTTTTTGTTTTTTTGGGGGTTTTGTTGTCATTTGATATTAATTGTTCGGAAATCTAGAGTTAAGTGTTATCTCCGTTACCTCTGTGTGTTCGAAATGTGATGTTTGATAGATACCTCTTATTTCCATTAGGGTTGCCATGTCGAAGTAGAACTGAATCCCCTAAATTTAAGATTCAAAAACCTTGGTCCGAAGCTTCAATTTTCTATGTATTAATTTAAAATTGGAATTGTGGCTACTATTCATTTTCATAAATTTTTGCTAGGAATTTCATTAAAAGAGATAGAGTACATTGAAGTAGTTTTTTGTTTAGGTTTATTTCCGCAAGCTTCGATGCCCTGTGAATATTAACATGTTCCAGAGGTAACACTCTCCATCTCATGATGGTATTGTTGTCATCATGTTTGAAATCAGTTTATGTGTCAAATATAAATTTATAGCAGAGAGATAACATTTTTTGCCCCTTTTGTGATCTTAAATTCCTTTACCTATCATGATTTTCTGAATCATTGCACATTGAAAAATCTATCCATAGTTTTTTCCCAGTAATTGGAGTGGGATTATTGACTCAGATGTTCATTATATTTCTTTGTTGGATATGAGATTTTTGGATATATATTGTGCAATTCCTAAATATGTGCATCTCTTTGAAGGTCGACATTTGAGATGGAGTTTATTGAAGATGTCATCGCTGTTACAATAGTATGGCCAACAAATAAAGAAGCTATCGTTTAGAGCTCGATAGCTAAATTTGTTGTAATCTTTTCCAACATATATATTAGAGTCGTATTATTTTATATAAGTTGATTAAGTAATTTATTTTCTGCTCTTCTTTTGCAACAGATGATGCAATCAAGAATAACTAGCTTTTTTTATAACATATGATGCAATCAAGAATAAGTCAGAACTAGCTTTTTTGTTATGACACTGCCTGTTTTTTTTTTTCAAGTCAATTATTTTCTAATAAAACTTAGGATTGTGCTTGCTTTTAATTTTCTATGTTTTTCTTTTATGCAATTTATGGGATTTTTGTGGTACTAGTTGTCATGTATACGTTAGATATTATGTATTTAATTTGATCAAAATTATATAGTGGTGTTTTTGGACACATTACAATGGTGGTTTTGTTTGGTTATATTTATGGACAAATGATATGGTCTATTTGGCACTTAAAGTGTGTGTTTTTATATCCTATAAACAACGTTTTTAAAACAGAGTGCAGTGTGAGTTTCATTAGTCATTATGCATGAACTGTAAAATCGTTTATTATTATAATAATAATAATAATTATTATTATTATTATTAACAATAATAAGAGGCAGACAAAAACACAAACAATGCAATGTCAGCACTTGCAGTAGTAAAAACATGGAAGAATGCAGAATTTTATACATGTTATGCAGGGGTATTTTCGGTTTTTAACATAAAAGAAAACATAATTGCATGGAGCCATTTTAAATGATCTTTGAAACCTAACATGAGATATGAAAGGATTAAGAAATAGTCTATGGTACTAGTCCTGAAAACATAAGATGATATTGATATTTTTTCACCTAATCCAAATAGTGTAATCATAGGTAATCAATAAGGGGGGTTTTTATCCCATCTTTAAAAGCAAAAGGGCCCTAAGAGGATTATGTTCTTTGGACAATCTAACTAGGAATATAATACTCTCTTTCTCAAATTAACTCTTACTATTTATTTTTTGTTAAGTGTCTTTACCGCCGCCGCCTCCCCTAGGGCCGACGTGTGGTAAAAATCTCTAACGGTAAAAAAAAAGGTAGGGTTTAAAGAGAGATTTAGATAGTATAGACTTGTTTACTTTACATGCAACTGGTATCATTGCTAATCAAAGTTAAATTTGTTTATATTTTACCTTCAATCAACTCCATTATCCCTATACAAATTCAACGAATTAGTTATTAACTCCATTGAAAAAAAATAAAGTATTGAAGATAAGCTCGACCGTACGAAATTGATTGATAAATTTATAGCTTAAAATTAAATTAAATACAAAAATAATGATCATGTATTTTTTTAAGTTGTTTACTTACAAATGATTAATTTATGAATATATTTTCTCAAATTATGTTTTTGTTGAATGTTATTTGATTTTCTACCAAGTGGGACTTTATGTTGACAATATAGAGTTAACCACAAGTCCATAACGACTTTATTTTGATAGTAAAATATTTTGTTTCCTTGAGAATAATTCAATTTTCATTCCTCAAGTTTGCACTAATTTTACATTTTGATTCTTATGTTTAAAATAAAAAAACATTTACTCCCTCGTGTTTAGAAAAATCAACACTTTTAGTCATTTTCGTCAATTTTTTCAGAATCAAACTTGTGTCCATTATGTCTTACCTAACGGACTAACTGAAAATTAATGGAAATGATAAAAAATGTAAAATTATTGGAATATGAGGGACCAAATGTGTTTTTTTTAACACGATGGACTAAATATGTATTGCAAACTTAAAGGATGAAAATTGTAATTTTCCCTTTCATTTCCACCTAACTAAAACGCTCTCTAAGATTTTGTTTCCTTTTCAAAATAATAAAAACGCTTTCTAAGATTTTGTTTCCTTCTGTATAGGATGGATAAAATCTCCAACGACTATAACCCGATTTTCTTGAAATCGCGTTTCTGAATTTTATTTTATATATAAAAGAAAGAAACGCTGAGCAATCCTAAAAAATCCTAATGGTATTTTGGTAATTATTTATTTTTAATATTTTTTCTCTACTAATTTCTAACTATTTATTTTCAACCATCATCAATCTCCCTTTTTCATCAATATATGTCAAATCTTAAGAGATAAAGATAGAAATAAGAGTTGTTAAATGTTAATCTATATACTTGGATTATAAATCTTAATATATAGGGGTCTTTACAAATAAGTCCATCCATGGGTACTTATTTATAAAAAGATCAAGACAAAAAACTCCTTTACCAATAAGTCCACACATGGTCCAGATTTTTGTAAAGGACTAAAATAACCCCTCATACTTTAATATGCTCCAATTTCATTCTTAACTTTACTTAACCTCAATTTGACCCCAAATTTCACAAATCAATCAATTTTGACCCAATTTTTTTTTTTCTCAAATTTTTTTTTTCAAAAACTTTTTTTCCCGCCGGATTCCGGCGTTGAGTTTTCAATTTTTTTTCCCTTCCGGATTTTTTCCCCTGTTCCCGGCGTTGACTTTTTCGATTTTTTTTTTCTTCTTTTCTTTCTTTCTGTAACCTTTTTTTTCGTTTAAACATCAATATTGTTGTGATTGACAGTAATATTAACTATAATACTCCAACGCCGGTCTCCGGCGTTGACTTTTCAATTTTTGATTACTTATTTATTTATTTTTTTAATCTTTTTTCCTTCCGGATTTTTTCGCCGGTCTCCGGCGTTGACTTTTTCGATTTTTTTTTTTCTTCTTTTCTTTCTTTCTGTAACATTGTTTTTTTTCGTTTAAACAACAATATTGTTGTGATTGACAGTAATATTAACTAAATTACTGTTAAACACAGTGAAATTAAACTAAACTACTGTTTAATACAGTAATATTAACACAACAAAACTCCTTATTATTGTTTAATAGAGTAATATTATTATGTTGACCGTTCAACAAATGTAAATATAATAAAAACCAAAAGAATTAATATTACTGTGAGTGACAGTAATATTACTATAACAACATAATATTACCGTCAACCACAGTAATATTACAATAATAGACAATAATATTATTACGTTACTCTATGAATAACACAAACAAACAAAAAATCCAAACAAAATAATAATATTGATGTGGTTGACAACAATATTACTATAACAACAGTAATATTACCGTCAACCACAGTAATATTATTGTGTTTACAGTAATATTACAATAATAGACAATAATATTATTACGTTACTCCGTGAATAACTTAAACAAAACAAAAAACCCAAAAAAAATAATAATATTGATGTTGTTGACAGTAATTATGTTGATGTTTACAGTTATTTTACTGTCAACGACAGTAATATAATTACGTTGACTTGTCAACAAATCAAACAAAAAAAAAAAACAAAAAAAAAATAATATTACATTATTTTACTGTCAGCGGCAGCACAATTACATAAATGTATTGTCAACGGTAGTACAATTACGTTAATTTACTGTCATTGACAGTATAATTACGTTAATTTACTGTCAGTGACAACACAATTACGGTCAACGTTTAGCGGCGGACGTAACAAAAAACAAACAAACAAAAAAAAAAAACTCAAAAAAACACTAAAAAAAGTCAACGCCGGAGACCGCCGGAAACCGGCGAAAAAATCCGGAAGAAAAGAAAAGAAAAAAGCAAAAAAAAAAAAAAAAGTCAACGCCTTAAACCGGCGAAAAAATCCGACAGAAAAAAAAAACAAAAAAAAGAAAAAAAATTGAAAAGTCAATGCCGGAGACCGGCGTTGACCGCCGGTCAACACCGGAATCCAACGGCAAATTTTTTTTTTTGAAAAAAAAATGTTTGTGAAAAAAAAAGGTTCGGGTCAAAATTGAATAATTTGTGGAAATTTGGGGTCAAATTGAGATTAAATTAAGTTAAATGATGAAATTTGAGCATATTAAAGTATGCTAAAAAAAAATAAAAATTGAATTTTTGTGGTCAAAATTGGATTTTTGTGGACAAAATTAAATTGAGGTTACAATTAAGAATTGAGTATAAATGGTTGAGGATAATATTGGGATACACATGAGTGTTTCGTTTATTTATAATAAATATTAAAGGGATGAACTTATTGGTGAAAGAGATAAGCCCCTAAACCTAGAATAATAAATATGCTTGGTTGGGGATTTTATCACAAAAACCCCTAATATATAAGATTTAAGAAAAAAACTAATATTATACTCCCTCCGTCCCAATTTAAATGACGTTTTGGGTTGTTACACACATATTAAGAAAATCAATAAATGTGTATAGATTATAGTGAAAAGCATAGGAAAATACTAATATATCCTTGACATTAATTATTTTACAACTAACAAATTAGGAGTGATAAAGGGTAAAATTGAAAATAAAGCAATTAATGACACATTGAAAATCTAAAATGACAAATAATTTGGGACAAAAAAAACTCTCTAAAAAGACATATACAGTAATATGGAACAAATGGGGGCCATTTTTTTTTTTAGAATATTTCGGGTTTTTTTTTTGAGAATTGGGGTCATTTTATAATTATTTACAAAAATACAATAAAGCGTCGTTTAAAACGACGCGTTTTAAGGGCCGTTGGATTGATCTGAGATTGACGGCCAGATCTCCCTCCTAATCTGACGGCCAGGATTGAAGACAAGATCTGACGGTCCTTAAAAAGCGTCGTTTTGAAAGACGCACTTTGCGGACCGTTGGATCGAGCTGCGATCAACGGCCAGATCTCCTATTTTGTCCTCGTTATCTGACGGTCACGAATTGAAGACAAGATCTGACGGTCCTTAAAACGCGTCGTTTTGAACGACGCGCTTTGACCTGTCAGGGTTGAACGCGTCATTTAAAACCACGCGTTTTAAGGACCGTCCGATCCTTCTCGATCTGACGGCCCTGATTTACCCGAATATATATATATATATTTAATCCGAAAAATAATTTCCTTCACCCCTCATTTTTGCTGCCCTTTCTCCCACTGCTCCCTTCTTCCCAACAACAAATGTAAGTGTTCTTTGCTCTCTTTTTTTTTTTTTTTAATTATTGTTTATTTGTAGTTTTTAATTTATATTTTAATTAATGTAGGTAATTTTAATTAATTTCAGCAGGTTACTTATTGAGGTAATTTTTTCACTTTTTCAATTATTATAGTTAAATAGGATTTTAGTTATTAATATAATTTTGTTAAATTTTTATTAATGGTGGATTAATGGTATTTTTATCTAGTAACTTATTAATTATTTGGAGATAAATTATTTATTGTATTGTTAAAATATATATAATTTTTTATGAAAT